CCTCTCAATATGTAGCGTAGATAGAGTTGAGAACTTAGTCCGATCCATAGGTTACCTCAAAAACTATCACAATAACAATTTTTTTTCAATAATTGTATTTTGTAATTTGTTTAAGTTTTTAAAAAATAAAAATACTTAGTACCAGAGTATAAAAATTAGAACTAATTACTAGATTTTGAACTGAGGGGACTTGACCGAAATTTGAGGGCACCAAGTCCCTGCAGAAAAGTGTAGAACGAAATTTATCTATACGATTTCGTATTTAAGTTTAAATATTTAATGTTACAATATTGTGAAATACTTTTAATATTATGACAGTTATTCTTTCATCACGAATGAATCATTTACTACCTACGATAAACAATAAACATAAATATACCTACTTAAATATTTTTGATTATTAATACATAACTTTATAACTTATAAGTTCGAGAATTCGTCTATGAAAATACGTGATTTCCATTTGCCATATTTTACCTTAACTTCTATCACAATCGATGTGTATTATACCAATCATTTGGTCATAGTAAGTTATGAACCTATTATATGCATTTATTAAAAATGATTAGGTAATGTATTGTATTAGAATATTGTAAGTTGTAAGTTCGTAACGTGTCCGTTTTTATGGTTGGCAAAATACTACTAAAATTAAAACGAATGCAATATTTTACGATCAACAAATATATTCAACGTTTTCAATCGATTTGAATATTATTATGATTTTATTATGTATGTACGATAATATTCATAAATGTACCTACCTGTCATAGACGCAAATAGCATAAAGTTTTATGGGGACATCAACCCACCCGGCCATCTCTCCCTTTCCATCATATTATTTAGGTAGGTACTAAAAATTATTAAAATTTAGTACTAAGTACAGTCGAATCTCGATGGGAATACAAATAAATTCAACCTATGTATTTTTTCTAGTTACATACCTCATACACCACTTAAAAACACTTCAAGCGGCAAGACAAAATTTAAATTATCGAGGTTTTTGACTAAGGCCACCCAAGTTCTTCCAGCCCTCACCCAATTTGTGGCAATGTCATACCTACATATAGTTTCTACTTGCTTCCTTGTCTCGTATCGTTGTATTATTATTTTCTTGGTAGGTATACCTACTAGGTAAGTACGTATTATACATTTGATTTTCCAAATCGGCGTAACGAATGCGGATATAAAATATTATGAGCAATGAATAATAATACAAAAAAAAAAATTAATAATATAGTATAATAAATATAAAACAATAATAATAAAATGGAACAAGGTTAGTAATTGAAAATCTGCTACCAAACGTCATAGAAGCTACAATATTGACGAGCACTGGTGAAGGAGTAACAATATTTCTTCTGAAAATTCCCATGATACCTTCAGATCTGCCCTTCAATTTCAAAAGATGACGATTTCCAGTGAGATTGGCTTTTGCAATGACTATCAATAAATCTCAAAGACGATCTTTGAAATGTTTGAAATGATAACTCTGCAAATCAATGTCAGTATATCCAGTGGTCGAAGTGGGGGGGAGGTATACGGAGGGATGACATCCCTCTACTTTTTTGTGTTTTCATTTTTCATCCCTCTACTTATTTTGTCTAGAATAACGCATTCCTCCTAAGACTCGTGTTTTAAAATGAAATAATTATTATGATTTTTATATTTATAGGTACCTATGTATAAGAAAACTTTTTATTTTTCGTATAGGCCTAAATCTGAATTGTAAGGCATCCCTCCACTTATCTTGAGCCCTTTCGACCACTGAGTATATCATATACTCATATTGTCATATACCATTTTATCTACTTATACACATAGTCAAGCGTAATTGGTACATCGTCATTTATGACTGTCCTAACCTGACAACTGGTCCGATCGTAATACTCGAGATCCTACAGACCTCTCGGTTGGGGACTCAGTTCTAAAACCCCAGGAGATAAAAATAGTCCACCTGGGGTGGAGTAGTGAACCCTTTCGGTGTTTGGGGGAAAGTGTTAGGTAGGTTCAGACGGCTGCATCCGAGTTAGGTCCTAAATTTAAAATTGCTGCACTAGTTCGGCCCCGGATTTTTATAGTTTTTACACTAGTTGGGTCCTAAATTGTTTTAGCTACAACACTTGTTCTTGAATATTCTTTGGTAAGTACTACTCTATACTAACATTCTCCTTCCCATTTTAACAGACTTAGGATAGTCTATGATCTATTTAGACCACAAGTATGGTTAAAAATGTTTAAAATGTATATTATTTTATTTTGATTTATATTATATAATTATTTTAACATTTTTAATACTTTTTCACTTACATCTATATGGCTATATGGCTATATTTATTCTAATTACTTATACTTTAATGGAAAAAAAAACAAAAAAAAATAACTGTAAAAACATTTTTAACCTTACCTATAGTCTAAATAGATCATAGACAGTCCTAAGTCTGTTAAAATGGGAAGGAAAATGTTAGTTTAGTGTATTACTTACCAAAAAATATTCAAGAACTAGTGTTGTAGCTAAAATCATTCAGGACCCAACTAGTGTAGTAACTAAAAAAATCCGGGACCGAACTAGTGTAGTACCTATAAAACTCCGGGACCGAACTAGTGTAGTACCTACCTGCGATAGTGCGATTAGCCCCTAGTTCTAGTACTCGGGACCCAACTCAGATGCGCCGGTCTAGACCTAAGCTTACACAATAGAGGTAACCTAACCTATAGTTTGACAGGTAATCGCTCCTCACGCTATCGGCTGCGGTCATCAAACTTGAGGTCCTACGGACCTCTTGTCGGGTGGTTTTTTATTCAGATTTATGACACTGAAAATCAATCAAATGAAAATTTTAATTTTTTCTGTTTTATCGGTACAACATAGGTTCACATTTTACCCTCCGTTAAAACCGACAACACATAATTACTCCATAAATGTAAGCTTAAAAACCCGTATTTAAAAAAAAAAAGCACAAAAGGCATGGTAAAATAAAGCGCTCGTGCATGCATATGCACATGCGCACACGCAAAATCTCAAAATGGTGAACTTCATTAGGCTGTAACTCTGAAACTAAACCCAAACTCTATGTTCTGAATTCTTGACTTCATCATCGTTTTCAGTATAGGTACCTGACTATATGTTTAAAAAAAATATTAGTACCTAACAATAAATACCGTAAAAATATATGGATATTTGTTCAATAAGAATATAATATTGAACATTTGGGCCGTATGGATAAATCCATAACTTCAAATACTTTGGGCCTTAATGAATGGTTTAGTCAAGCTGCACATTTCTCATTTTCTTACAAATGGGATGGGTAATAATATCATTATCTTAAGGTAGATACCAAACTAACATACCGCCCGATTTTAAGAGGTTGAACTAAGTAATTTGAACGGACATAAACCATCAAATATTACCTATAAATTATAATTATTAAAATTTAAATTCATATGAAGTGCTCAAGAGTTATCCCATATTACCCACTGTTGGTCATTAAAAAAATGTTATAATGAGACTAAGTATTATATCTATATGTAAGAATTAAGTTTTCGCAGTTCAATAAATACCAACATGTAGGTAGGTAGGTAGGTAGGTAGGTATCTATTGTTATTCATAATGTGCACCTAAAATAATCAAATTATACTGTTACTACTTAAACATTATAGATAGAAGAAAACAATAATTAATAATATTTATCTTGATGAAGTCATTTTTTTTATTAAATTGATTCAATAGTTTTTGGATTCTGAGTGTAATGACAATTATATTAATTTTACAATGATGTATTTTTGGTGACTGGAAACACATTTTATAGTAAAAAAAATACTTAATTTTCAACTTCAGCTTTTTCATGGTAGGAAAGTAAAACCTAGTTGGTACTTTAGGAGACTTAAACTGTAACCCTACATAACAGAAATTAATATAATGTTATAAGAACCTTACAACATCAAAATTTAGTTTTATGCAGCGCATCCATAAATAATAAAACTACAATTTTTTACATCAGGAAAATAAAAACTATAATCGTTCATAAATCATAACAGAGATTAACAATTTTAAAATAAATAAATAAAAATTTGTTTTTAACATTTTAAGATCAGTACATTATTATTGCACAAATTTGATCTATTTGGTAATTTTTTAACGTGTCATAAATAAAACTGAATTTATAATTCAATTAATGGCAAGTATAAGATCAAATTCATTTCACATAAAAAAGTATACATTGTGGTTAAAAAAAAATTGTATACTAATCTAAAAACATTTTTTTTAAAGGAATGTTAATATTTCTTAACTTAGTCATAATTTAACAAAAAAAATAAAAGAATAATAACCGTTAGTTTTAAAAATTACAAAACATTTTATTAGAGTTTATAACAAAGGAAACTAAAGATATTTAGGGTCCATTATTATAAGCTTTATTGTGTACTAAAATTGGACCCAAATCACAAATCATTTAGTCTATATTATTATGTTAATTTATTACATCAATAAACTCTAAGTATACTAAAAAGCTTCAGGAATTTTAATATAAATTAACAAATAAAATTTGGCAAATTTTGGAAGTTCAATAATTTTTTTGGAAAATTCAAAATATATAGGAGCTTATTTCAGAAAAACATATTACTACAGCAGATTGGCTTCAAATATACAACTAAAATAATTATTAATTTGTTTAATAAGTTATTAAATTTTAAGAAAATCAATGTCCATCAAAAGAATCAAATTTTGGTATGTTTTTATCGTAATGATGTGTATTTATGAATATTTTTCTTAATATTATAAGATTAAAAAACAAACATTTTGATTTTATTGCAAAACTTATTGCTTTGGTTGCAAGGTCTATAAATTATCTAAATGTATCTGATTTTTTTTTTAATTTACTAGGTATTAAACATATAATAATGAACATTGCTTAGTGCTTAAACACAAATATATAAATAATAAGCCAACCCTCTCCAAAATAATTGTATTAGAATTTGTTCAGTATTGATTTATCAAAACAATATTCACACCTAGTATTTATTGCATGTAAAGTATCATTGAAGAATAAATAGATAAAATGTTTCATCAATAACATAAATTTTAAGACTTAATAAAAATATTGCATGTTACTACGTTTCTCTTATTGCAATTATGCTTTATAGTAACCGAAGTTCAATCGTAATTGTTCTAAGAAGACAAATGTAAGAATTGTTTGAGGAGCCAATCTCACAAATGCTGGAACATAACCCTAAAAAAAAAAATACATGTATAAAAATATTTTCAAGAAGTAATAATTTTACCTTAAAGAATCCCATTGGTCCAAGCTTTGCAGTGTATCTAACTAAATCAAGTGTACCCTAAAAAATGTACAGTTAAAATTTAAAAAAAATGTATCATTAAACATTTTTACTATATTATAATAACAACATACTGAAAATTCGCCTGGTTTAGCATTCATTGCCCGAGTTTTTAACACATCCAAAGGTTGAGTGAGGGTTGTCGCGACAGCGCCCTACAAATTTAGTAAATAATGAAAAATGCACCAGAAAAATAGTATAAATTTTGTTACACTTACAGCAGTTAGACTAGATAAAAAGTGTGTAGTAGAGTTATCACCAAAGTGTCCAGATGATAACAATAATTGTTTCACTTGATCATAGAAGGATAACTGTCCAACAGTCATTAGAACAGCACGCATTGTAGCTGTGGATGCACCCGAAAACAATCTGGTAAATCCTTCTTCTCGCCAAACACGTATAAAACCATCAAAGGCATGCTTGTAACTAACACCATTAAATTGTATTAAAATTTATTTTTTCTTTAAAAAAGTTAACATAAAGAATTAAGATGTGATGATTTATGATGGTTTAACTATATAAGCGTATACTGTTTCACATCTATATCTCATTTCAATAAATTATACTTTCTGTATTCAAAGTGTTTTCATAAATATCCATGTTGGATTGAATATTGACAGTCAAACTTTAATATCAATTGAAGGATTTTTCTACAGAAGTTGGTACAATGCACAAATCAAATAGATTTGAATCGTGAATGTGAATTTTCACTAGTAAATATATGCACACCAAAGCGTTATTAATATAATGTGAATGCTGAATAAATAAAATGTTAGTGTTTCATCAGATTCATACTTTCTACGTTTTTCCAGTGGTAACTTTACATCATTCTGCATTCGTACGTTAATCATATCAGCTGGGGTTCCAACAAACCCACCAGCTGCCCCTGCAGCAGAAGCCAATAGCACTGTTTTATAGAACAGAATGTTTTCACCAGGTTTGGTCATTGCTTGTTTTCCAACCTAAAATTACACATAATTCATTGCAAATTGTAAATATCAAAGACACTTTGCTACAATACCTCATATATTCCAAATCGTACGGTCGAATACGTCAGTTGTCTACATAATGATGCTGAAATACCTGTATACAGTGAAAATACCCCTTGTTCTCTGATAATTTTCATTGCCAAACGACTAACGGACAGTTTGCCTTCTTGTTGTGTTTGTAAATGTACCTGTGAAATAATCTCAAAATAGTTGGTTCATTCATTAATACACATTTAACATTTACCTTGAGCAAATCCAATGGATGTGTACAACATGCAGCACCAGCCGAACCAATACCACCGAAATACCATCGCGAAAACTTTTTACTTTTATCATTAGCTGCCATTTTATTGCTGTTCTGCAAAGCGTGACCTGAAGAAAGTTCAAAATTATTCACAAATAGGTAAAAATATATTTTAACTGGCAAATAACTATGACTGTTACTTAAAAAGTTAAAACTTTAAGAATTCTACATATTTTTAATGAGCGTTAACAAGTAAACATCATCAAAGCCAACTCTAATGCTGGTAATTTATTCAGAGGTCTGTCAAGGTAACAAAAAAATCCAAAAATCTAAAATCAAATGAAAATCCTAACAATCAATTTTCTGTGTATCTACAAGAAAAACTCTTACCGGAAGAAAACAGACGTAGTCGAAGTTCTGTGAATTACTTGCTGTTCCCGAACGTCCTCACACGAACTAACTTTTCAACTTTCCCCTCCAGTTCCGGTCATAATTAGTTACAGACTAATATTCGTTTCGGCCGTGGGGGAATATATTGGTACTTTATTGGTGTAATAAGTATTTAACGGAGTGGTGACTGCCGGTCTTTAGTACAACCGTCTAATGTCTACATGGTGTGAAGAGGGGTGAAGCCGTGAAGGGCAAATTGTGATAAGACAATGACAAACAAGTTACAAGATAAGAAAAATGTTTAAAAAAATCAAAAAATGTAAATCTACAGCAAACCCTACGCATAAACATATTGGTATAATATTAATACGTCTATGACCCTACGAATAGGAAACGACCAACGAGTTCGTGATTATCATTTATCACAGTCCACAGGATTGATATTATTATCACAGATTAATTGATTATATTTTGGAAATATAATCTATGTTAATATTTTCATTTTTCACCTTGTCCAAAGCACAGATAAATAGATCATACGGTGTTACGGAAGCGCACTTGTAGTGCCACATAGAAAAAAATATTATCTCTGAATTTCGACTTAGAGACTCGACATTTTTGAATTTGTATCTCAAAATATTATACTTCAGCCGTGATAGAGACATTTCACGTAATCAATGACTATAATGATAATATACTCATACACATTATACCGGAATCGCAGAAAAAAAGACCCAGGAAAAAGCCTGGTAAAAAATTAAATATTAATGTGAACACATGTATACTCTACTCCTAATTAGTGTAATTACCGTGTGGAGTGAACTTATAACAAAGTATAATATATTATAATGAAAATAATGTCATAAATTATTATCATGTGTAATTTTCGTATAAATGTAGAATGTATATACGTACTGAATTTTTTTTTGATTTATAACTTATAAAACCGTATATTATGTATAGAAGAGTTCATATTTATACTTATTTTTTTTTACTATTACAATATTTTGTTTTTATATAATTTATAGTCAAGCATAATCCATGTACAGGCATAAAATTATTTTTAATTAAAATTTTTCATTGAATAAATAGGTAAAAAATAGTTTCTTATTACTTGAGTATATGAAAATTTCCAATATTGACTATATTAATTTATGAATAATTTATTACTAATTAGGAGTAGAGTATAGATCAGAGGTTCCTAACCTTTTTTGACTCACGGCACCCTTAATCATTTTCTAAAAATCCGGAGGTACCCTCCTATAGACTACTTCGGTTTTATTCAGCAGTGCATAAGTATAAACAAAAGTAGAAGGTAGGTATATAGTATATAGAAATATTATATTTTATAAAACTAATTATTACATTGAACATTAACTATATATTTGTATTTTTAATTATTATTTCATAATATTATTTGATTATCAAGATTTATTAAAAATTAGGGAACTTATGGAACTAATGTGACACTTGGGCTTGTTATTTTTTACACAAATCTTTTATTTGTGATCGAATAGTTGAAAGACATACTCTCATTTCTTCTACAATGAACTCCATTTTCATTCGTTTATTTGTTTTTATGTTAACAAGAGTGGAAAATCCTTGTTCACATAAATATGAAGTCGAAAACTGCAATAATATTTGTAGAGCTCTTTTACCAATTTTATCGTGACTTTTTTCAACATGAATCCAAAATTCACTACCTGGAACATTTTTATATTTTGATAAAAGAGTTCGATTGTTTCGTATTTCAGCGAGCTCTTCTTCTTCTTCGAGGCTGAATTCAGTTAAACTTATATTTTTATCAAATGGGTCATTTATCCAATCATACTCGGAAATATCCAAATCGGGAAAATACTTGTCTAAACTTTCTTCTAAGGCAGTTAAATGCTCCACCACAAATTTCATAACTTCGGAACTTTCTTGTGTCACAGATAATGAAGGAAACATTTCAAATTGATTTTTTTGCACACGTTTTTTCTAGATTTTTAATTTATCTTTAAGAGTAAATAATAACTTACTACACGATGTTAATATATTTTCATTTGGTCTTTGCATGGTACTTGAATTTATTTGATTTGAAAGTATTTCACCATAAATAAGTTGTAGAGTGATAACTTTATAACAGTCCACATCGAAGATTCAATGATATGCATGATAGCAATCAAACTAGTTTTAACTAGTATTAATATAATCTGTGCTAGTATGAACATTGAAATTGATTGTACAACACAATATTTCTACAAATTATACGAAACAAATTATATGTTTTATTTTATAGTCTGTTTTATTACACACACTGCTATATTTATCATGAAATCATTTTTTCTTAAAAATATATTTCAAATAATTTCACGGAACCCTAAATAAAGTTCGCGGCACCCTGGTTGGGAATCTATGGTATAGGTACATGTAATCACATTTAAATTTAATTTTTTTTCCGGGATTTTTTTCGCACCTACCATTTTACCGATATCAATATAATTTAAAACATGTTTACATTAGATTGTTTAAGATTTTAAGATGTTAAGATTTGTTTTTAGAATAATATGGATAAATTATTTGATATTTTTAATTCAACAGAAACACCAAATGGATACAATGGACGCCCCCCCTCCCAGAGGGATAATTTCCCCCCCGGACAAAAAAAAATAAATATTAAACAACAATAATATACAATGCAAATAAATAAATGTACCTACAAATGATTAAATTAATGTATAAATATAATGAAAATAATAAAATAATAATATAATATAATGTATAAAACTTTCACATAACTTTTTTAACCTATCATCTTTACTTAAATTATTACGAAAAGCTCCTGCTCTATAGTTTAAAATTTTGATTGATGCACTTGAGTTGCTCATCTGTAGAGCTTCAATAAAAAGCCAAAGAACCTATTATCAAACCTATTATTATGTGTAAAAAAAAGGCATATTGAGTCGGGGGGAAACGGCTCAGTCTAGGGGGGGAAACGTCCAGTGCCGTTAAGATTCTAGGGGGGGAGCAAGGGTAGGGANGGGGGAAGCACGGGGGGGAAAAGTACCGTATAGAAGTAGGATTAAATCCATTACCATTTTGTTTCTGTACTCTACCAAACCACCTCTCCAAACAATCTTGACTCAACCGATGGGTACACAAAGCATACTCTTTATTTTTAGATTAAGAGTTTCCCATAACATAATATTTAAGCCACTAATTATAATTAACAAAGATCACAGTCAGAATCATAATTGTAGTATATGTCCACATATTTTTTTTCCACGACATCATCATTAACATAGGAAAAATGATTAAAGAACATATTATGTGTAGCTTTTAGAAGATGAGGAGGATCAAAAATATATATAACTTTTTGTCTGTCAACTTCAAAATATGGCTCATTAGGAGTAACTTCGGCGAAATTGATATTCATTGAAGAACGACTATGACAGTACAGTATGCAACATCTATGGCCACTTGCATATTATATTAAATCATCCATGATTCAAAGTATTCATCCATAGTGTTGTATGTAATTAAATAACATTTTAAAATAAAATAAATGTTTATGTGGTTCAAGTCATTTTGAATAATTAATATTGCAGTTTAAAAACCCATAAATATATAAGATACAAAATCACAAATGACATAACCACATTTTTGATTTTACTTACATAGTTTGGATTTTGAACCTTTGAAAGAAAATTGGAATTGGAATTTTGGTGGGAACATCAGGAAAACAGTGTCGCCATTTATTTTAGAGAAAGGGAGTTTACAATATTGGCACACGGGGGGATGGGGTCAGTAAGCCGGGCATCGGGCAGTTGGGTCCCCGAGATAACAGCCGTTATCATCCACGGACTAAGATATTATATCTTAGTCCGTGTTATCATCCCATATCTGAGTCCACGCTTCAAAATTATAGCATTACACTTTCTGATTCACGATAGCGGGAACACATTAAAAGTTTAATCGAAAATCTCGACTTAGTGACTTTTATTTACGCCTAGGCTACTAGCTGTCTGGCTCCCCCTGTCCTTTACGCCCTCCAACCACTGATGCGATGTCCAACGTGGACGTCTTGGAGCAATTGCAGCTGGTGCTCAAGCCCGACATGCCGGACAGGCGGCTCGTGTGCGTCGAGGAGACAGACACCGCCAAAGCGGACATGATCTTATCGTTTTACATGTGGTACGCGTTCACGAAGACTGACCTGCCCGTGCAACTGATTGGTACCCGGGACTCGTACGGTCACTACCAGAACGTGGGCCTGAAGTTCCATTACAACCTGCTGTCAATGTCCAATCAAAGTCGATTTGAGTACGTCGATTCTGTCGAGTGCATTAACGATCTGTTTAACTATACGGGTGACCTGCTTAAAAGATACCCCACCGGCCCTACCTACATGGTAGTGGATGATATTAGCTCATTTTTGTTGTTAGGCGCGACGTTAAGTGACATTATTACATTTCTGATGTATGTCAAGCATGAACCGCGTCTTCGCTTAGTTATTGGCTGTTGGAAACATAAGGATGATGAATCAGCTAAGAGGCTAGCATCTGCTATATCGCATACAGCCGACATCAGGGTGGCACTGGCACCATTAGTCACAGGGTTTTCTAATACTGCAACAGGCACAATGAGGATCACTACACATGAATCACAGTGCGGCATAGAAGAAGTGTCTTATCTGTACAAGTTAGCCGACAATGGCCTTAAGTTAACATTGAATTCAGGCACTGTTTGATAAAACCATTAGGTTTTTAAACATTTTATAAGCTGTTATAAAGTGATATGATTTGATGCATACTATTTGTATAAAATGAATTAATTATATACTGTAAATAAATATCAACTAAAAATAACTTGTCTATTAATTTTATTAAAAAAATGTATACAAGCAAACAAACACACAATAATAACATGATATTAAAAATTCAACAATCATTAGCAATAACAACAGATCAAAGAAAATCAAAAGTAATTCATAACAATGAAATCTTTCTTAACAAATAAATAATAATATAACGTTCTTCTTTATAATATGAAGGAAAATTCATTATTTTACACAATTTTATAACACTCATCTACAATCTAGAAATCTTAATAAGGTACATATTACATATACAGTGTCTTGTGAGTATATACCCATTAACCGTAGAGGGAAACTCGCCACACGGAAAAAAACCCATTTTTTTGCAGTTTTACCTATAAACTAAAATAAAATTTTAAAAATTATGATATAACTGAAAATAAAACGGTGAGATCAATATTTTCAAAAAAATAAACTTCAAAATGGATATTTTCAATTGCTTAAAATATATAAAACGAAAATATAATTTTTTTAAACTTTTACAAAAAAATTTAATTTAATAATGAAATATATGTAGTCCTTGTCTCTGTGAGTAAAAAAAAAAAACAGATTTATGATATATTTATTTTGTTAGGAGATACTACAATTGGTAAATCAACACAGGACACTGTATAATATTGGTATACATTTAATCAATAAGTGTTATGCGAGTATAAAAGAGTTTATCATAATATCATTTTTTAATATTCTATATTTATATCAGATCAAAATGTATTAAATTAATAATAGACAATAGTTAAATGTTAAAAAAAAATGGTAATCCATACTCAATGAATTTTTTTCAAATTAGGAATGTGAAATGTAGTATTTACAATTACATTGTTATTACTTATTATTAATATAAATTAAAATAGGTACAACATAATGTACTTAATAACAAATAAAACAAATAATTAATATAGTTTTATATTTCGGTTATCAGAGATTCACCACAATTTCGGTAATATATTTAATTTTAATCCAAATTATTGTAATCTTTTAAAAATGATTTTGTTTCATAATGAATTAAATAAGAACTATTCAGTATTTTAGTCTACAAAAAGAAAGTCAAAATGTTTTTTCAAGAAGTACCAAATACCATCAGTAACCATAATTTATCTCAAATTTCATTCAAAATATATTTAATGTTTATAATTTTAAAATTTTAACAATTTGATGAAAATGTCACTTTTTTATCTAAATTACTAAGAAAATATTAGTAAATATGAACAGTTGTACAGTGCAACTGTACAGAGTATCAATGTTAAAAAAAAAAGTAAATATTGGTATATTTGGCACACCAATTAAGTTATAGTTGCTCCAAGTCTTAGCTAAGTCCAAATATTAAAATTATGAGAATCAGAAAAGATGACATGAACACTCATATTATTAAAAATAACTTTAAACATTAAATAATAACTAGTATTATAATTTAAAAAGTGTGATATTGTTAGCAGTAATGTTAAAGCCTCCTCAAAGTCAATGGACGGTATGAGACAAATAATAATATTAGTTTTACTTTGTTAAATTATATTTGACAACTTCAAAACTGTAGCTTGGTTACACCGCTTAAGCTCAAATTCACACTTTGGTTGGAGCCAAGGTTCTCCATCAACCTGAACTGGTAATTTTTGCAATAATTTTACCTGTCAATCGTAAAATTCTTAAAATCAAGCAACATAAATTTATCATTTGCATCAAAATAAACATATATCTTACTCTGATCACAGATGCTTGACCAATTCTAATGGGTTCAGAAATTCCCATTTTTAGCTGTGCTATATGAATGGAAGATCGTATGCCAAGTACTTCTAACAATCCATCATCAATGAATTGAGCACCAAACTCATTACCATCATTAGCTCCTAATTTCCATAAGTTCACGCCGGCACCCCAAGATTCAATATTCACAATTACAATGGATTCTATATCTGGTAAAACTATTTTTTTGTCATCCATATATAACTCAATCATATCAGGCAGTCCTTTACACTGATGTTCTAGAAATTGTTGAGTGCCACACCCTACATATATCATCTTATTCAACAGTGTACTATTGAATAAATATAATGGTGACTTTCTAGTCCGATGAAAATCCAATGTTATTTGAGCGTCCAAACCAATTCCTAAATAATTGTACATTGTGATAGTGTTTGTTATTTTGATCTTCTTCAAAACATTTGACAAAATGTTCACTTTCCATCTAGTAAAAAATAATGAGCATTATTATTTCAGTTCATTTCCTTTCTATAATAAAATAAAAAAATTGAATTAACCTATCTAATTTTATAACTGAAATATTATCAAGAGAATTCACTATTCCGGAACAATCAGAGTCAGAATATGAAGTTCCCCATCCCAAAACTCTAGACAAGTCATTGCCTGTACCAAGTGGTATAATACCTACAGCAGGATCAATCTGAAAATGTTAATTTCATTATTAATATTTGTACCAAACAATGATGGATTTATAATTACTTTTAATTGTAAATTATGAATGCTGTTTAATACACCAGCTACTGTACCATCACCACCAGCAACCAAGACAAATACAGATTCCAGCTGTGTATTTTTTAACCAATCTAAAGCTTTTTCTGGTGGGCAGTCAATAACATCATACACCTGTATAGGATTTAGTAGACGCCGGAAATGTGAAATTATTATAGCTCCATCATTATTACCAGACTTCTTGTTGGCTAAAATATTACACAAAATATATTTGAAAATAATAATATTGGACATTATTTTATAAAATATGCTTACCGAATATGATTAATGGTGTCCAGTTTTCCCAACCAGGGTGAGTAATTTTTTCAATTGTTTGCTTGGATATATTTTTAAATCGATTAGTTGTTTTTATACAAAATGGTGGTATAATATATTTGCGATATATTCCAAAATCACATTTCTAAAACGAATTATAACAAAAAACCATGACTATCAAAAAATAATAAAAACAGTTATTGATTAATGTTTCAATAACTTTTTAATATAAAATGTTGTTTGGAAATCTAAGTGAAATTTCTAATTTTAGTCATATTTTATTAGTTATAAATAGCAATATAAATTAATAAATATAAAATACACCTCACAATGATTAAACAAACATAAACATAATACTTTACTTTTACTTTTACTTTCAGTTTAATGATTGTAACTGTAAACATTATAAGAAGTGATTAAAAAGTACCTGGCTAAATTGAGTTATACAATTTTCATGTAAAAATCTCTGGCACCATATACATTGAAAAAAATGCCCAAGAATACTATCAGTGTCATCATCCGAGGAACAAACACAACATGCAACATCAATTAACAGAGCTATAAAAAAAAATACATATGAAAGTCGGGTAACTGTGCCACATTACTATGACAGAGCTATAAAAAAAAATGTAATAATTAATAATAACTCAATAATATTTAAATATTAACTATGTTAAATTATTAAATAAATTACACTTGTTCCAGTGGTGTATGAAAGTCTTAGGTGGTCTATTGGTACTTAAAATCTTACAGCATATTCGTTTGTTAGCTTTTTTTACACAGCCTAGGTCAACAAAAATCCCACAATTATCACAGTATCGAACTTTAGATCCATGAGTTAATGTATCACATATGATACAGGCATTTGGATCCTATAAATAATAATGATCAGTAATTTGTTTTTATAACATTATATGGAATTATATACCCAGACTTATTGTATAATACTTACACTTAATATGTAAGTTGGTTTTTCAACCCACACATGAGATGATACACCTTTATCAGCCACATCATTTTCAGGAGACAACCATCTGAACGCTTTAATACTGAGAACAAACACTACAATTGCGATTATAAATGTAATTATACTGGATGTCACTAAATCATCTGTATCCAAATACATGGTAAATCTGAAATAGGTAAGTTTAAAATGAAAAAATGTAATTAAAAAAACCCACGGATTTAATACTAATATTATTCCGAAAAACGAGTATACAGATTCATAGATGTATACCTAATACATAAAAACAGCTAACTAATTATGTAAGTAGGTAGTACCATTATCGATTTACTTTTCAAACTCTGCTAAGCTGTATCCATTCCTATGTTAAAAAATGAAAATACAACTGACATCGTTTCGGCGTTGAGCAGTATTCCGCACACATTATCTGACTTTTTGGCAATTTAGAATAATATAATGCTAAATGCGCAAAGGCTTTTGTTTGAAAATGCGTATTGTGTACTATGAGCGGTAGGTATTGTCCATATGATACACAAAGCGTTTTGGTTTTATTTTTATCATTTGAAAATTGCTAGTAACTTGTAGAGTATTATTTATTTATTTCATTTAATTCAATCCAAACACCAAAATATAAATATCTAAAAATGATAACAATTTCATATCAATCCGATTAGGAGGTAAAAAAACCGCTTATTATAGTTATTACTAGCACATTAATAGGGAGGTAGAAGTAGTAGAACTTATCACATGTCAGTATGACACACATAGATAACGTCAAAACCGTTTAAAAATTAAAACTTTAATTTAAACCGACATTATGCCATTATATAAATTATAAAGCTGACCGAAGTCTACATATTTGTATTTCAACATATTACACCCTTAAATTTTTTTATATATACAATATATACCTAATTTATACCCCCAGCTGGCTTATTCTAAAATACCTATTAAAATCTACGAACATTTTAGATTTTGAGCGTTGCGATATTGCGATCTACCTATAGTAATTGTAATACTATACCTATATATTGATTTTATGAAACATATACGATGATGTTTTTTTTCTGCCTGTCATCCCATATTAGGGCAGTAAAAATTGTCTACATAGGCATTAGGCGCCGTGACTAGACGTCTAGACTTCATTCGCAGCAACAGCCTATAGCTAATAGCCGGCTCTAACTAAATGAACCAAAAAAAGCCCTATAAACCAAAGGCCGTATTTTTTTTAAAGCCCCCTCTGTACCAATGAAATATTTAAATACTTTTAAAAAAAGTCTGGATTATCTATTTAGAATTTAGAATCCACAGTACTTGCAGTACTTTTTAGAGATTAAATTAAACTCTAAAAATATTATTCATCTACAGCCCTACTGCAGGATTACGCGACCGAGCTACAAATCAAAAAAAAATAACACCACAATAATATAATATCCAATAATAAATTATGCGGACTAGACCGTCGTTTGTCTCAAGTCCTTACTGATTAGGTTTTTCCTAAGTCAGGAACTCAGGAACATAAATCTTTGTAGACTTTCTGTGCTAATCATAACAATGCACAAAAGCTAACTGAGTTATAAACCGAATGAGTAACCGACAAAATAATCAATTCGAGTGATAACAATATGCTAACGTAAGCCGTAAGGTAACAGGAAAACAATGAACGTATTATTATACATTGATCATCGCTAAAGTTCGATAAAAAAAGCACTTAAAATAAAGTAAAAAAACATAAATAATGATTTTTAAAAAAGTCATCATTTGATCACTGATTTTGTTTTATCCATTTAACTTGTGATTTATATTTTAGCATATTATATATTACTATTGCACATTTGCACATCAATTATTAAGAATGATAAAAAAATATTGCATCAAATTATAATAACAAATTTACAATAATATTAATACACTATTCGCCATATATTAGGTGTCTCAATTTCTTTAAATAAATCAAATAATTATGGTGGAGTATGAATTTTTGACTTTTGGCATTTTTCTTACAAACAAAATGTACAACAAACCAAAAATAAACTCGTTAACACAAAACACCTGAGTACTAAATACTAAAAACTAAATACTCGTACATCACATAATTTCTTGTCCGAATCATATCGATTTTATCTTTTCGAACATTATAAAGTGAAAATCGATTTGATCCATTTTTACTGACTTTATTATTTAACAATAAATATTCATCTTTCAAATATTTAAAATACGTAGATACCTAAAGGTAACACGTATTTAATATTATATTAAAACAAAATATTAATAACACTCCAAAAATCAATAAAAAGTAAAACATAGCCAATAAAGCATTAAAAAAAAAACAAAATACTATTTCATATACCTATCGGCTATCACATATACGTAGGTATTAAACAAATCTATAGCTGATGTAGGACTAATAGAAAAAAAAATTAAATAGGTATCTACAGCATCTTAACTCAATATAGCCATCACTCATCAGTCATCAGTCATTATCACGCCGGGTAAATAATTTTAAAATAGATATTAAATTTCGTCAATCAACCAAGTACTTAATAAAATAGATAATTTTATCATTTATCAAAACAATATTGTTTTTATACCATACATGTTAAGTAAAAGAGAAAAGACAACACATTAACATACATTTTTGGAGTTTATTTCCAGGTCAATAATATTGAAGATCATTCCAACATTTTTTTTTGGGACACCGATACGTATGCCAACCATACTCTATATTATATTATAGTACCTAGGTACTGTTTATATACGTCTGTATCAGAATTCCAAGCTGAGCCCAAAAATAAACTAGATTACTATAGTCACTATAGAGACTGGAGTTCTCAATAAAACGACTATACACTTCTAAATTGTGTCCGGAGTCCCAAAAAAAATTATATTTTTCAGGCGGTAAATTTGACCGGTAAGTTGGGTCCCGTTTTGGGGGACGCAAGTCAGCCATATTATTATCATCGATATTATCTTCAAAAATCATTAAAATCGATAGTATCGTGTCACTAAAACCGATAGTTCATAAATTGTAAATTCAGTATGATTCGATAATGATTTATTATGACAAAATGTTTAACATGCATTTTTAAATTTTTTAATAATTTTTTATTATATTATACTATATTTATTATGACAAAATGTATAACATGAATTTTTATATTATTATTATTATTGCAATTATTATTATTTTGATGGAAAAATGTATAACATGCATTTTTATATTATTATTATTATTAATATTGCAATTGAATTGAACTATTAATTTATTATAACCATTTTTATGTTGTTATTATTAAAAATTAAATTTGTATCATCAATGTACCTTTTTATAGCGATTATATCGATATTTTCGGGACGCAATTAGCTCATAGAAAAAGGTATATCGGGACGCAAATACGCTATGATCTTTTTGAATCTTTTTTTTGCGGGACGCAACTTACCTACTGATAATAATTTTGGACGCAAGTAGTATGCTCCCGTTCGAATTAGGTCCGTATACTGCAACGACATGGGTGTATGTGAGTATTGGAGGTACTGATAATATGTAGGTAGTATTTTTATAACATTTTCAACTATTCAAAATTCCATACATTATTTTATGTAGGTAGTAGGTACATATTCGAATATATAAAAAAAAATTTCGAGTGGTATTTAAAAAAGTGGAATATACACATATATGTTATGTTCTATTAAATTAAAATAATTATTTGAGTAATCACTGTAGTTTTTGAAAAACCCTAGGGGCTAGGGCAGTAGGGCAATCATATGTTTCCCTGTAAAAAAGTATTTGATAAATTCCGTACCCCTTGTAAAAGAGGGGAGTCTCACCTGGAACCAACTAGTATAGACTATAGGTGCATATCAGGGAAGGATCCAGGTGGGGACTAGGGATCCAGCTCCCCCCCCCCCNCTAGTCCCCCCGACATATTATTTCCCAATTTTTTTAATAATTCTACAGATCCTGATACCTATTGCTATGTTTCAAATTACATGTATGTCTGATAATATAATATATTATTATACGTATCATTCTGGGGTGCTCAAACAAAGATAGTACCTTAGTTCATGGTGGACAGTGATTCCAACATTGTAATTTTACATTATCAAAAAATTATGCCCCCCCTCTAGATCTATGTTCTGGATCCGTGCCTGGGACATATTATCCAGGGCCCAACTTTATGTTCAGTATGATTTTTAACACAGGACTCAATTAGTACACAATTCTAATTTGGGACTTGACTATAGTGGTAGGTATGCCGGTATGCGACAGTTTAAACCACAAACCTATTCACACCGTTATTAATTTACTATAACTGTTTAACAATTATTAATATAATAATATAGGTAATACCGATGTTTTTGGCAAAATGAAAAATATATGTAATAGCCAATAGGTATCCAATATACATATCTGTTAAATATAAAATTATATGTGGTTGCATACATTGGTATTGGTTTGTATAAATTTAAACAGTTACATTTCGAAATCGATCGGCTTGAATCGAACATAAATGTATTATATTTTATTATCTACAGAGTACCGGCTACCACTGAACGTCGATCCGCGCTTTTGATGCATATTGCATGCGCTCATATTGCTCATATTCATCATTCATGTAACTTAATACCTACGTTTATATTTAATGGTTTTTATTTTTAGGTTAAGTGCAGTTATTGTTTAGCGAACTACTTGTTTACTTAACAACCTAATTAAAATTAATAATTAATATATACCTAATAAATAATAATGTAATGTAACATAGTATATATATACATAGATCATACTAGAGTACTAGACCAATACAAAATATATACTAACATACAACCTGAAATACTTAACACATATTATGGTAGGAACTATATTATAGGTTCCTATAGACATTTTATTAATTGTTACCTAATTATTAGAGGGGACTGACGACGACAGGAGAGCATCGTAAAGAAAAGTTGTAAGTGACAACTTAGTACAGGTAGGTACCTACTTACAACTCACTTGGTAATACCTATCAGTGTTTAATATAAATTAAAATTTGTGTTAATAATATAGCTATTTTAAACCGTTATAAGCACCCAAAATTGCGGAATAAAAATCCCCGAGAAAAAAAATCCTCAGACTACAATATTACTCACACAAACACATCAAATTATTGAACTTTGTGTCAGGTTTGTGAGTTGCAAAATTAATATTTTACATTTTTTGAATTCGGTAAGCCACAATATTAGGAGACAATCTAATAATAACTAACAGTGAGTTTACGACTGTTTGATAATTATTTTATTATTTGTATTATTTGACGTTAACGATTATTTGAAACATTTGTATATTATGTTTTTAACTGTGAGTTCCTACCTAAATTAATTTACTATTATTTGATAATTATTTTTATTTTATAATATTTTAAATGTTTCATCGATAAAAAGTAAACCTTATTAAAACGCTTCCTAATAATATTTTGTTTTTATTATAGTCAAAATATTATAAGAAACGTAGGTATGTAATATTTTAAATTTTCAATCCTTAGCTATAAAAATTGAACATTTTCTAAATTTCAAGTATAGATTACTACACTTCAAGTTTATATATTTGTAATTAAATACTAATAATGTTGGTAATTACACTAAGCAATTAGAGTTAAAAAAAATATTTGTTCAGTGATTTGCAAGTGAGTAATATTGTAGTCTGGGGATTTTTTTTCAGGAGTTGCTCACTGGGGGATATTTTTCCGTGTATTTTTTCCCCGGGGATTTTTATTCCGATTACCAGGTACCCAATACCAGTAAAAGTGTAAAAAAAATTAAAAAATGCAACGATATTTTTAAGCTTTCGAATTTCATGGAGAAAAAACCACGTTGTCCGCCGACGACAATTTTATATTTATAAACAATTGGGCTGCTGTAAAAGCTGTCTGCAACTATATATTATCATAAAATACGACATAGAGTTACACCTTACACATTTAGATTTATTTAGCTTTAATACCGTAAATTACCTTTATGCAACCTGCAGCTGGCGATCGGTAATTATAAAACAATGCTCGATTGAATTTCAGACGATCGAAACGTGTCGATTCCGATTTACCGGTATTTGGGCGGTCGATGGTCGGATGGTCTCACGATCATTTCGATCATTTCGATATCGGCCTAGACGAGGTAACCAAATATAAAAATCATACCCATAAGTCATAACCCATTAAAGCATTAAAGTTATTACCTATTGTACAGGGACAAAGGCTACCGACCTACTGTGTGAAAAATGTTTATCATCCGACTACTCTTATCTCTCGTTTATGCCAAGTGATGATCGAGATTTGTTGGTTATGATTTGTATGGATTTATTTTATTATTTAATTTTGTAATTCGTGCGGTCAGTCATGAATTCATATTTCATGATCGCTCGAAATTTAAATTGAAACACTTCTTGAACATGTCCCGCAGCAATCCATAGTACAGCTACCAAATAAACGCATATCTGCACCGTTCTAGATTACATTTTGTTATTTTTCTCGACGATCTGATTCACAGTTTTATATATGCATTTGAATAAACACAATAATTGGTAGTATGAAGAGAAGGAATGGCGATTGTGGAAAATCTCGAAAGGCCTTGAAAAGAAACAAATCCGCCACCGAAGGAATCTACTGGAGGTATAAGATCGCATTTGGACGGTTGATGCAATATTAAATGTTGATACTAAACTACAGTACATATTTGTTGTTTCTAGTTCTGTACATTATCTGAAGTTGTTCGGCATTTGGCTCGTTCTGATACTACTTGATTATTTACTACACTTTCGGTTTGAGTACGTCTGGCCATTTTGGCTTCTGTTTCACAAAATTGTTGAAGGAATTAAACATCAAGGATTTGTAAGTATATACATAGATAATGTACAAATTATGTTATTCTCTATGTGACTATTTCAATTGTTAATCACCGTATTCGTGTAGAGAAACAACTATTATATTGCCTAATTCATAGTGAAGAGCTCTCAATTTTCCTGATACTAAAAATGCACATTAATGTAAGTTTCATGTACATTAAATCAACTTAAACTGAACCTAAAAACACTAAAATAATTATATGGGTAGGTAGTTTAAGTCTGTAATCAAAAATCATTATAAACAAGATCAATCACATTGAATACTAAAAAGTAACCTTTAATTTGTAATTTGATACTACAGACGTGTCAATAAAAAATAGTGGTACTTGATCAAGCATTTTTATCATTTTCAATAAAGTTAACAGGAAAAATAGATACCATAGGTCATCTAGTTTTCTTTAATAATAATATTTTTGTAATTTATACTTGCATAGATTTAAATATTGTTGGTGTTTTTCAAGTGATTTATTGATACAAATTAAAATAGTTGTGTCAAGTTTAAGTTATATCAATAAATATGTTAGCATATTATTTTTTAAGTTATAAGATGTTTAATATGTATTCACAAATGAACATAATATATTATTTTTATATTTCTCATGTTGCAGGTTTATACAGTGTTTTTTGTTTGCATTGCATTGACATCAGACATGGTGTGCTTTTTCTTCATACCTGTACATTGGTTGCTGTTTGTTGCTAGTACTTATTTTTGGGTACAATATATTTACCAAGCAGGTTAGTCAAATATTAGTATATATTTATTTCTCATAGTTTTTATTTATTTACCTAATATTTATTGTATACACCATGTAGAAAAATGTGTTTCTTGGCCAGTGGTAACTTTATTAGTCTTGTACATTTATGTGGAGGCTTATATCCGACTGAATAACCCTGACCATATTCCTTATAAATTGGTTTTGTGTAAACCTTTAGCTGCTAACTGGTAAGATACTAAATAATATATATATGTTATATTGTTCACGGCTTTATTCATTAATATTTCATAATAATGGCTTACTAATTTTTAGTATTGGATATCCTGTGGTTACACTATGTTTTGGTTTCAAAAGTTATTTAAGTCATAAATTGAGACAGGTAAGCATCTTAAAATTAATTTAATTTAATTTAAATACATTTAACTGAGTGGTAATAATGTAAATTGTTGTTGAACTAAGACCATGATGCATGTAATGTATATTATTAATCACAATTTTTTTTTAGAAACAACAACATAGGGTTTCTAAAGAAAATGAGTTTTATCAAAACTTATTATTAGATGCTTTGCCGTTTGATAGAATAACCGGCTCCATTATACCTAGTCAAGAAAATGATGATGGAGGTAATTTTATTTCTGTAAATGTAAATTCTTAAATCTTAATACAAAATTGTTTAATTTTACATGCATAGAAATATGGTTGGAATCAATTTGTGAGGTGCCTGCTGAAGACAATGATATACATATTAATAAAGTTATATCTAATGGTAGTGTTCCACATAAGAAACCTGAAAAGCAAGATCCTATATGTACTGAAATACCTAATAAAAAATTAGTAACTAATGATAGATTAATGTAAGTACTTATGACTTAAATAAAATTATCTTAATGTTTGTCAAAGTAGATAGAGTAATATAGAAAATAATTATGTATAGTAATATATAGATAATTTGGTTATTACAGATGTAATAGTAATCAAGAAAATCATGTAAATAAAGAAACAGAAAAAAATAAAAAGGTGACTCCTAAATCGTCATCAACTAAAAATAATAACCATCTAAGGTGTAGTAATCAAAACTCAAGCACAAAAGAATCTACAAAAGCTAAAGGCACCTCACCACTAAGACTAGAAAAGCCTTTAATTGTTGATCCTAAAGACATATATTGTGAAACGTAAGTTTTTAATACATTGAAAAATTCACTTTTATTTAATATGTTTTATATATTATTAGATTGGAAAATGAGTTAAAAAGGCTTAAATGTGAACTTCACTCGTGTAGTCAGGCAGAAAAAGAACTGAGAAATCAGTTAAATTCTGCTTTAGTTGAAAATTCAAATACTTCACATGATTTGACAAGGCTGAAACAAGAACACGAAGATACCAAATCTAAGTAAAATATAACACTATATTATACTTTATTAGATCATATAATATTTATATTTCATTGTAATAAAATTAATTTGATTAGGGTTATCAATTTGGTAGTAACCCATCAAAATGATAGGCAGATGGTGTCTCAACTTGAAAAACGTTTGTCAGATGAAAAACGACTAAGGATTTCATGTGAGTCTCAATTAGTCACAGAAAGACGACAATTAAAAAAAGTTGAAGAGCTTGCTGCTTCTAGATTATCAGCTTTATCTACAAAGTAAATATTTATTTTACCTGTTAATTTTCTAATTAAATACTAAATACAAATTCTTAATTTTATTTTAGACCAGAATGTACAGAAAGCTGTAAGGTTAGACGCAGAGAGCTTGAAAGTGAAGCCAAAGCATTACGCAAAGAACTTAGGATAAAAGATGAGCAGTATGTGGCGGCGCAAAAAGAAGTCAATGTAAGTTTAAATATAATAATAATGACCAATTGAATTAAAATCATTTTATTGACTGTAGGATCTTCAACCGTACAAACAAAGTCAAGATAAAATTGATTTTGTTATGTCTGCATTGTCAACGTTGAAAGACAAAAATGCTCACTTAGAACACAGTCTGAGCGCGGAAACGCGCATTAAACTCGATCTGTTTTCAGCATTAGGCGAAGCCAAGAGACAGCTAGAAATTAAAATTAGTAATGTTTTAAATATAATCATATAGGTATTGGACAATATGATTATATTTATTTTTGTCCTTAGATAAAATTTCATCTCAAGAAAAAGAGATTGAAGAACTTAAGTCTAAAATGGCTCAGACAATGATTATGACGCCACCAAATAACTCATACCATATGGTAAACTCTGTTGGCGGATCGCCAACAATGAGGTTTGGTGGTAGTAATTCACCTCAGTCTAGCCTTGATCCAAATGCCACTATATATACACCCAAGAAAAGTTCACATTTAGTCACTGAAGCTTAATTTTTATAATAAAAGTAAGTATTGTTTTGTAATTAGTAAATACAAGTATGTCCTACAACGCATCTGTTAGAGCAAATGTGGCCAATTCAATAAAAAATTATGGTTGAACTCTTCCAAATGAATATTACTTTTTGTACTTTGTTGACTGTTGTATACCAACTTCTCTATATTGTACAATTTGTTGATGGCTTTAATCTAACTAGTAGCGTATGAGGCATAACAATAACTGAAACCAATAGTCAATAACAGCTGTTCTTTAAAATCTTATTTTATACTTTCTAATAGTGTTAATTGTACTGTTCTAGTGTTTGCATACAGAATTGCAGTATTTTTCAAAAACTGACAACAAAAAAATTAATTCTCTTTTCTCTTTCTCAACAGATAATAATTATTGTACACATTAAATACCTCAGTAGTCAGTGAAGTATTAATTTAGAAACAATTTGTATTGATAGTAATATTCTTTATTAGAATCAGTATTTTTATTGTTTACAAACATTTTACAAATACCTTTGATGATTTAAATAAATCCCTCCCCCTCTCATTTACTATGAATTTGACCTATATTCTTGCACTTCATAATTTATTATGTATCTGTTTTGTTTTGGTATTTTTTCTCAGTTCTTGACCAATGGGGTGCTTCTACTTCAATTTATTTATTTTGTTTATTTGATCTTCCAATTTTTAATGTTTTTTTTTTCTTTTTTTTGCATTTCATCTGTATCAGTATCTTTGTGGTAATAGACACACAAAATCTAAGAAACTTAAAGTCGAAACGAACAAATTAATATTAAGACATAATATGTTAAGTTTAAACTTAGTTCTTTTTTTAACCATTATATAAATTTGTATATTTTTTTTTTGTTCCTAATCAGAAAAAGTCCTAAGGGCCACATAACCCTAAAGGAGTTTTTCTTTGTTAACATTTATGATTGTAATGAAAAGATTGTGATAATTTATAGATGAAATAGCTCCGTTTAAAATGAATTAATGTGTATTGAATAGGTACACACATATATATATTTTTTTTTTATAAAATTAAGACAATATGGTCATAGATTAAAAATACTTTCATTTCGCATGCGTACTTAAAATAACTATTCATTGTTTGTTATTATTTTTTTAAATCGTTTGGTTTTTCATTTTCACTTGTAGTACAACAATAAAAATAAATACTTTTTCAGAGTATATTACTATTTTGAGTTATTTATTCCAAAATCGTACATATATATAAAAAAAAAATAATAATAAATAAAAAAAGATAATAATTACCTAAATTCATTAAAAATCAATGGATTGTTATAAATGGTACAATTATTCAGAATATATTATCTATGCACAATATTATAAAACATAATATATTGTACAAATTACGAGGACAATGTGAATAGAATTGAATATACTCAGTGCTTAGTATGTACATTTCAGATAGCATATTGAATAATTTAAAAAAAAGACCATTATATGTTACGCTTAAAGTAATGTTGATAAAATTAATTACTCATGTACAAAGTTTAAGGAACAGGTGCATCTACTTCAGGACTGCTAGCGTCTGGTTCTTCATCATTATAAATATTTTCAGCCATTTGCCACACCTGAGATAAAATATCATCGTTAACAATAATTCAATTGTACTGGATTTATAGGATATGGATTATATGTTCAATGTTAACATAATTACCTGCATAATATTGTCCTCAGAAACTGAACATATAACCCATGGTTCATTGGGATTCCAAGAGAAGTCTGATATTTTTGCTGTATGGCCACCATGGATGAACTGAACAAATTGAATACCCAACAATTTATAGATAAATGTTTATAATCAAACAATCGTTTTACAATATAATTACCAAAAGTTCAGGAGGGCCGTCATCAGCATCTTCTGGAGACTGTTCTTCGCCTATTTTACTCAAATCCCAAACATGTAAACGTCTATCTGTACCACTAGATGCTAATATAGTCTCATTATGTGGTGACCATTGTACTTGGAATATTTCATCCTTATGTGATTCAAAGGAATGCAACTTCAATTTGAGATTTCTTAAATCCCATAAGGCTACAGTCTAAAGAGAAATAAAAAAAAGAAATTCCATTTAAAATTATCAAGCATTTGTATAAAATAATGTAGCTTACTTTATCAGCACTTCCTGTAGCTAAAATGAATTCTGAATATGGATTAAATGATAAACAATTAACTTCAGCAGTGTGAGCATCAACAGTATGTGATGGCTTGCTTGTATTGTTGGCACGTGTATCCCAAATCATAAGTTTTTGATCATCAGCAACAGAACCAAACAATGATTCATGTAATAAATGCCAAGCGACATCCTAAAAATAAGACAGTTAGTCGCAAATGCTATTTTACAAGACAGCAATTTGTAAGTACTTCAACAACAGCAGTATGTCCAGTAAAAATAGTTTTAGCCTCAACAACTCTATGTTCTTTGGGAGTGGCATTAATATCCCATAGACATATGGTGTGATCATCAGATGCACTTAACAAATATCCGTTCAAATTGGGATTCCATGATAAACCATATCCTTCTTTTTGATGACCTCGTAATCTATTTTGAGATACAAATATTTTTATTTGATTTATTAGGGATGTTTGTTTTATTTATTTTACCTTAGATCTGGTTGGCATTCTCCGTTTGGATCAGGTTTGGATGGATGTTTGGTATAATCAAATACTAATACATCACTTGATGGTGTTTTGGTAGCAATCACACATGGATTTTGAGGCATGTAACGAGCACGGTTTACTTCACCTTCATGGTTGATTTTAATTTCAATTTCAATTTTACCACTTACAGAACCAAATCCACCATATTCTAAAAAAAATAAGTGTCACTTAAAATAATAATAATTTTTTAGTATACAATCTTTATACCTTGTTTTTCTCCATCATAATGCGAAGAATCAAATTGAGCATCTTCATTAGGTAACTGAACACTAGCAATTAATAGATGATTTTGTTCATCTGAAGTATGAGTACCAAGTATTAAACGGTGTATAGAATACTCTTTACCTTCCGGACTACAAAACAAAATGTTATTGAAAAATTAGTAGTCAATATTAATAAAAAAAAATGTGATCTAATTTAAAGTTCATTTAAGCTTGTATTATAATTAATCCATTTGATGCAAACTAATAGTTTATTAATTTAAATTTGATATTAGATTTTTGTACCTTTATAAATCGTAATTTATTACCCATACTCAGTCTCAAAAAAGACCAATACGTTTTTTTGAGTCAGAGTATATATTGATAAATACAAGTACCAGAATAGAACACAGTACAACTACAATCAAAAGCATATAATTAGGTACAATGAAAACTCATTACAACAAAAACCTTTATATAACTATTATTCAATATAGGTTAGTTTACTTTATAAACTTTATGGTTGGTTTATTTTATAAAATGAAGTAGTCACTCTCAGTAACAAAAAAACATTGTACGTTTCAAAATACAATTTCTATGCTATTGGTAGGTACATAATATTAATAGGAACAAATGTAAAAGTGTACAAAAGCGACTTGCATTCTTTTATCATTGACTTATATATTGTTATTAAAATATAAAATATAATTTTATTATTGTGGTAATGTTTGACATTAATCGCAGCATTTGTTATCTAAGCGTAAATGGCAATTAAAAGAAATACATTGGTCTTTGATCAAAACGTGGCTTTATACATATGATAGTAAATGATTTGATGTTCACGTTTTTAAAATAGTAAAACATATACACACATTTATAATTTTTGCATAAGTAAAATGTTGTGATTAATTAAACCCACTATATATCTAACCCTATTACAAAAACTCTCTATAAGGAAAGAAGTCTCTTTTCGTCCCATAAATTTTTTTATGGTTTTCACTGTATTAAAAATCAATATTAACAAACTGATATTTCCAATCAGAATTTGGCGGTGACAATCATTCAAAAGTGTTTGACTTCATACAAGCAGGCACAAAGTCAATCGGTTAATGACAAAACCATATATTAAGATGAATACGGTAAGGACGGATTCAATTACCGAGTAACGTCTGGGAGCCACTGAGCGGTGAGCGACGGCCACTCAAGTGCGTGAGTCATGACCAAGTCGTACAAGAACGGCGTGTTCTTCTTCCATATCTTGTATTCTTCGTTGATGACACGCTCCTCGACCGCCTCGTCAAACGTATCTAGAAAACGCAAACAAAGACTCCTGGAGTTAGTATTACAATCATAACAATTATCAGGACGAAGAACACAGTCCAGGTACTCACCACCTTCCTTGTCTCCCATTATCGCCGCAGGTGGATGCTAACACGCAAATAATCGCAGTAGTCTTTCCTTTACCAGTTGTTGTAGTTGAAATAGTGAGCGTTTCGTCGCGGAGATACGAACGATGAGCACAAGATTTAACTTAAGACCGCGACGTGTACAACGCGCACTTTCGGTGCGGAAATAGTGTGACGCTGACGCGGGTCGCAGGACGGCGTCACGATGATAGGCGGAGAGAAAAAGGAAAAACAATAAATTGCGCCAAAAACACACGAATATAAAGAGAGATGATAATCGAAAAACGCCGAATGAAGTTGGAAGAGCACGGCGAATCAGAAAAAACTATGGTCCCGCCGCGGTCCAGCCGGCAGTGTGGCCAACACAACGACAACGCACCGGACACGCGCTACCACCACACATTTATTACTTGCTTTTATAGACATATATTATAAGCATTTATTAATTTATAAATGTCTATGCTAGTAACGTAAATATATTATATATAATGTATTACAGACTGTAAAGTCTAACTGACTAACTAAGATATAAGGTATAATAATATGCCTTATACAAGCAATGATAAATTGTATGGAAAGCGTAGTAACACAGAGAGCGCTTTTTAATTACTCGATTACTCTAGCTCCGCACGGTGATGTGAGGTAGCAGGGTAAGATATATATATTCACTGCAACATGTTGTTACGCAGCCCGGTTTGTAATGGTTGTAGATATTCTAAAACCGTGGTTTAAATCTGCATCACTGAGTACGGACCACGATTTAAGATAGTCCTATATATATATAGGTTTATAGCTGCATCATAGGTCTATGCAACACTGGGAAAGTTAACTATTCTTGGAAACTCGTTAAATTTAAGTTAATATAAAAAATTCAAGTTAAGTTTAAAGTTTAAGTAACTTTTCTTGTCTTTTAAACATGTAAAAGTTATAGAGATGACAAGATATAGAAAATAATACAAAGGTAAATTTTAACAAATGCCGGAAAGATGGAAATATAGGGGAATGATAGTTTTAAAGACAAAATAAAGAAGCAAACAGTGTAGTTAGAGAAACAAAATTTAACAGGAACTTACCATGACCTGTGTGATAGCTAAGAGGCTAAAAATCAAAAAAAGGAGAAAAAGAATTCTATAGGTTGGCTAAGATCCTAGAAAATGGTCCAGAGATTTTCAGAATGTTTGGTGTATGAAAAGGGAAGAAAATAAAGTTGAGATGAGTTATGAAGATGTGAAAAAAAAGATGGGAAAGTATTTCGAAGAGCTGTTAAATGAAGAATTTTAAAAGGAGGAAACAAAGGAATAAGTGTGGAATTTAGGTACGTTCGATTAAATTAGTGATGGTTAAGTGTTCGGTTAGGAAGATGAAAATTATGAAAGCGGTAAGACCTGATGTAGTACCAACAGAGGTACAATCGGTTTTACGTAGGTAATTAATGTGATGACTATAACTGATTTCTTTAATAAGATGTTAATGGAAAGCAAAATTCCAGAGGAAAGAAAAAAACTATTGTAGGCACCAATAATCATGGAGAATAAGTTGAAAATGTTGAAATGGTTTGGTCATGTTATGAGGAGAAGTGTCTGTCAGAGGTTTGAAAATGAATGGTGGAAGACCAAAGAATAAAATGAATAAATAGCTGTACAGAATAAAGAATAACACGAAAAGAGCTGGTGCGAGTAAATTTGGGAGGGAGTTGAGTCTTACGGAGGTATAGAATAAGAGTGACCAACCCCAAATAGTTGTGGGTGATGGCGAAGAAAAAGATAAACAATACCAAAGAAGAAACGGACATATCTGCATAGGACAGCCAATGGTACTTAATTTCACTCAATGACGACTATTCACACTTTCTATCAGTATACTTTATGTCTGAGCACAAGCCACAAGGAAGCAGCTGTCATAATTATGGACTAGGCACATAAAAACTACAGAAGTTAAGTTTGAAAGAAAGATATCAAAGATTAATTGGAATAATTGAGGAGAATAAACTTCAAGACAGCTAAGAGATTTTTTCAAACTCAATGACACCGAAATTGTGTACACCATCCCATATAGTCCATATTCAGAATATTATAGAGTTACATAGGTTATAGAGAATCAATAGAACAACAATAATTGGAACCAAAAAGAGCACTCCAAGGAATTACTCCAGCAAGAGGCGCTGAACTGTGGTAGAAAACCAGTGTCAACGTTGAACACTTTACAACAGTTTTTGGCTATAATGCATTTGTAAATTGTAACACATTTCTGAAGAAAAAAGAACATACTCAAAAAAGGCAATGGTTGAATACACACATAATGGGTACAGAATATGATAACCGGACAATAAAAGGATAGAAGCCACCAGGAACGTAATGTTTGATGGTGCGTCATCATTTTCAGCCAAAATGTACCCTTCCATAGTTTAATTGTTATAATTTTAAATTTTAAAGAAAACTTACTGAACGAAAAGGAATTGTAAGTGTTGACTGAAAAGGGAAGGGTACATTTTGGACAAAAAAGCCTTTTGATTAAACTGAATATAACATAAATTAACAAACTGATGTCCCGAAATAAGTCACACAAGCAACAAAAACTAACAAATAAAAAATAGATCACCAAGAAAATAATTCACAGTCAACAATGACAAATGAAGAAAAATAATTCTAAAGAATACGCGGAACCAACAGATGTCAGTAAGGAATCAACAGATAAACAAGAACAACGAGAATAAAAGGAAAAAACAGTACTGGCCACGGACTAGGGTCAAGAGACTACATATAGTGCTTAACGTGAAATCCTTCATCAATAAAATACCAGAATATGACATGAGAAACCAATAGGACAAATAAAATCGACTGTCAACGACGAACTTGCATCTCTTATAAAAAAAAAACCACACATGGCCACCAATAGACAAAATACATGAAGGAATAAAGATTATTGGCTTCAAAGTACTCTGTATAAAAATAGACGGCGATGAGAGTATATCAAAGTACAAAGCCGTAGTCATGAAAGGCTTCGCACATAAAAAGGTGTTGACTACACTGAAACTTTGGCAAGAGTAGCAAACTAACAACCATAAGAATATTACTTGCTGTCTGTACAGAATTAAACATGCATATTCATTAGATGGATTTAAGAACAGCATATTTTTAAATATAAAACTTAAAGAAACAGCTAGTAAATAGGTAGGTATAAATAATAAATATTCCTGCGGGCTGCAACAATGATAAATACAAGCACTTCAAAAAGTCCCTATACTATTCAGTTTGACGCAAGCATCCAGATGATGGAATGACTGGATGAATAAAATGAAAATATCTCTAGGATTCTTTCAATCATCATAATATTATGACTAGTGTAGTAGTGTCTAAACTTCGTATTCAAGAGACAACAACTACATTCTCAAACACTTGGACAATATCATAATCGTGGCCCGTGGGAAATCATATAAACAAATGTATAAAACTGAAAAACAACCTTAAAGAATAACTTGATTAGAAGGTGGAGGCAAATTTAAAACTTAATAGCTACCTACCACGGTTTTCTATTTTCAAATAAAGTACGACAAAATTACCTAAATAGGAAAATTATAGTAAAATCTAAGAAGTCTTGAGCTGTGGTGGGGAAGCGACCGAACCGCAGCGACAAGTACAAAGTTGGGAACGCCGGTCGCGGGCGAACCGGACGTCTCTTCTAGCCGGTGCGATTTGTTTATTTATTTGCTTATCAGTGATACATATTCACATTGATAACAACAATACGCGTTTAATAATTGACTGACAATAATAATAATAATCATTATTATATCAGCTACAGCGAATTCCTACACGACTCGTGGAAAATCTGTTCGGGCCTGTATCGCCTATTCGCCTTGATTCGCTTGTCGCAGCAGCAACGACAGCAAACAATTATAAAGAGTCGTCAGGTGCATTTCCATCCCCCGTGGATTAGAAAAAGTTATGTTACAATAACACAGTTTAAGTGCACGTATGATGGTTTTGCGCTTTACCATACAAGGTAATTCGAGTTTCGACATTGTCCTAATGTCACCGCTGTCGGGTTCAATTCAACTAATTTTATTTTATTTTCTTCTCATGAACGCTCTTCAGGAGAAACACTATTGAGTAATTATTATTATGACGGACAGTCAAATGGTAATCGTGAACACGGAACGCGATGTGGAACACACCCGAAACAGTTCAGCGACAGAGGCTTCGAGCACGGCTAGTGACTCGCCTACGCCTACCAACAGTGTTCAGGATAAGAATTGGGTTCATTGGCACGGACCAAGTAATGAACTATTAACATAATTAAATACATAACATGCAATTTATCTATTTTTTAATTATTTAATATCTACCTGTTGAGCACTAATAAGACCTTTTTTTACATTGAACTAGGTTAATAAATAGGTAGATACTAAATACAAGTAATATGTATTATTAATATAACTCAAAAACTAAATATTTTGTCATGATTGCGTCTTTTTGATAAATTCAAAATATTAATTTTATATACATTGATGCTTTTTATTTGTATTTTACATTATTTTTTACATTCATTCTGATTGAAAATCATAGCTGTGTAAGGAAAATCAAGAATTTAATTTTTGGTATAATGATTAATATTGGATGTTCCATGATGAAAGTACACCATAATTGTACTTCAAAAAGTATTGCTATATTATATTGTCTTTATATCAAAATAAATTGATTTTCTAGCATGGGGTGATGAACAGCGACAATTATTGGGTACTGAAGAGGAAGCAGATTCATCTGACTGTGAAACAGTTTCATCTGCAAATGGTATTGGAATTTGGAGTATGAATGAGGAACAGAGTAAATATTATGAAGAACAATTTGCATCAATGCAGCCTAATCCAAAATCTTTACTGAGTGGCTCAATAGCCCGATCATTTTTTGAAAAATCACGTTTGCCATTACATGAACTTAAAGAAATATGGTATATTTGTTTTAAACTTTTATTATGGCTTTTTTTATTTTGACTTATTTTTAGGCAATTGTCTGATGTAACCAAAGATGGAGCTCTTTCATTAGCTGAATTCAAACTGGCCATGCATTTAGTTGTTCTTAGACGCAACAATATTGCTCTTCCTAAGAAACTACCGCCATCATTAGTGCCACCAGCTGTGTCACCAGTTCAGATAAATATTACAAATAATACTATTGTATCACCAACTTGCAGTATTAAAAGCAAAGAAGTAAACACTTTTTAAAACTGTTTGTTTAAAATCTTAAACATTTAATTTAATTTTTATAGTGGACAAAGTTTATTGATTCTCCAACTA